GATCGGTACACAAAAGCGGAAAAAAGAAAAACAAACAAGCATGGCCAGCACTAGCGGAACAGTTGAGAGGCAGAAGTTTGAAGAAGCACCGGCTTCGTACAAAACTCCAGTATGGTTTTTTTTCGGGTTCACTGTAGAATACAACGACCAGTGGCCTGTACTACGAAGCGGGGTTACTGGCTTATCGGGGTAACTTGCCAGATTTAAGGTACCACAGTTTAAATGGACTTCATATTCGCTCACTTACATTTTGCCCAGACTTCCTTAAATCCAACAAGTTACCCCGATAAGCCAGTAACCCCGCTTCGTAGTACAGGCCACAGGTAGTCGAAACAGTTAATAGAAATGCCACTGTTTGTAAACATTGCCTAACACGTGTCCCATACGCTAATGGAAACACGAGTATTATGGCTAAGCATCTCAAACGTAGTCATGCTGATATAACGGTTCCTGAACGGAGGACAGACGAAAAGGTAACTGCAGGTAAACAAGTGTCTATCGAAAAAGCTTTTCAATTAACAGACATATCCTGCCACATCCGATAAACATAAGAAAATAACCCGTGCAGTGGGAACATTCATTGCTAAAGATTTGCAACCCTTTTTTGTTGTCGAAGATGCGGGGTTTCGCCACTTTAAAACGGTCGACCCACGTTATGTTGTGCCCTGCCGTACACATTTCAGCGACGTTATAATTCCCGACCTCTGTGACAAAGCCCACAAAGCCATCGAAAACGATTTGGCTCAAGCACAGAGCCTCGAGTGGAATATACAGTGTTTAGAGCACTTTAACATTTTTAAAAGTGTTTGTTTACATTTTGTAAGTTTGAATTTTATACATGTATACATATTTTATACATAAATAAGAGAGTTTATTATTTGTTTTGTTGTATTATTATTTGTAGTGTTGTGTTTAAACCGAACCGAAACTGTGGCCCAAATACCGAGGTACGTACCGTACCATGGGATACCTGTACCGTTGCACCCCTAGTTTATACCAGGGGTCTCCAACTCCGGTCCTGGAGAGCTACCGTCCAGTAGGTTTTCTATCCTACCTGGTTTCTGATGAGCTGCACCTGTTCTCAGGTAAATACCAGGAACAGGTGTGGCTCATTAGAAGCCAAGTGGAACAGAAAACCTACTGGATAGTAGCTCTCCAGGACCGGAGTTTTACTGTTTGCGTGTCACAAAATCATTTCTTGCTGCTCCTCCCTGTCCCTCTTCTTGTCTCTGTCCCTCTTCCTGTCTCTATCTCTGTCCCTCTTCCTGTCTCTGTTCCTCTTCCTGTCTCTGTTCCTCTTCCTGTCTCTGTCCCTCTTCCTGTCTCTGTCCCTCTTCCTGCTCCTCCCTGTCCCTGTCTTTCTTCCTGAAACTCTGTCCCTGTCCCTCTTCCTGTCTCTGTCCCCTTCATGATGCAGCTCTACACGCTCAAATTCCCTGCCTCTTAGCTGGTACATCCCAGCGGAATCCCTAGGAGCTCATGATTAAAAGAGGATCTTCAAAGGCGCCTGAGTGCCCTGTGTTATTTAAGGATCACATCATCGGCTGCATGCACCTTCTGAGTGTCCTTTGCCAGCAGGTGTCTGGACGGGCATGATCGCGTGTTTGCATTGGCTAGAGATCAGAGAGGCAATGTGACCCCGTCAGGCTCCTGTAGCTGTAGTCCTGTTATTGAGTGGTTGGTCCTTACTGATGCTCTGTGTCCCGATAGGTGTACAACATGTTTCGCCACAAGAGCCTGGGTGTCAGCATCAACATCCGAGTGACTAAGCTGGTTCTGCTCCACAGCCGCCCGGTCAGTTTGACCTTTGACCCTCCTGTTCTCACTCTAACCTTTTTGCGGCCGAGTCAGGCATTAGTGAAATGGAGGGCAGTGTGTTGAGTTTTTCTCCTGGTTTTACTGCATTAGTTTTCCCTCAGATATTACCGTAAATAATAATTCTTAAAAAAATCGACCCCCCCTGATTTTCTGTGGCTGGTGCCGCTTTCAGGAGAAGCTGAGGGTGGGTCACCATGGTGAGCGGTCCCTGGAAAGCTTCTGTCACTGGCAACACGAGGAGTTTGGTGGGCCCCGATTCTTAGGCAACAACCACGTTCCCGGAGGGAGAGATGACCCGCCTCCGATGGACGTCGCTGTGTTCGTCACCAGGTGAGGGGGGTGGGGGGAGGGAGGGGTTAGCTTGACAACTGACTTGGCCGTTGGATAGTTTGCCTGCTTTGGCTGATGAATGTTAATGATCCGTCCAATTATATTTCCATCAGCAGAAGAGGTTTGTAACCAATTTTCTTTCTTCGCTGAAACCCCTCATTGCTGGCGTAAGATCACATTCCTGCTTTCCGATTGGCTGTTATTGCCAGGTATCATCCTCAGTACAAAGGGAATCCTTTTGTTTAAATGAACATCCATGTAGCTTGGAAGATCCTATCCATGTCCCTGACTCCTGGTGTAGGTCGCATACAGAGGGCTTTTGTGTCCAGCCCCGTTGTGCTAAATGTGATGTCCCTTCACAACAGAGGTTCTGGGGTACAGGATTGTCATTTTGCCTCGGAAGACTGATGGCAAGGTGATCCGGAAAGTGAAACATGATGTCTCAGCAGATGCCCCGCCTTTTTATGATGGGTTATCTCTCTTAACCAATCAGATTGTATAGGAGCTAGGTCCAAACAACTGGAGGAGGCGGAGCCAAGACATCTGATTGTTTGGTCCCACTTCCTGTACAATCTGATTGGTTTTGGGAGATAATCATTTTTCGCTCTGCCCTCAGAACATTTTTGTGTAAAGATAACTTGCTCAAGCACACACGTCCCGAGCGAAAGCGTCCATGTCAGCATGTGTCTCATTAGGCCTCTCGCCCAGGCGCTGTTGCGGCTGATCCTTCGTTGTGTGGCGGTTGTTCCCACATCGGTTTCTAATTTAGCAGACAATAGTATGTCGACTCTGGGGACGGCATCCCCCAATTGTAGATCATTACCATCCGGAAAGTATGTTTGTTTTGTTGATGGAATTTGAAAAGGATTCGTTACAGTTATCTTTACAATGAGCTTTTTAAACACTAATTGCTGATGAAATTAAGGGGGGGGGGGTGTAGTTAAATTTGGGATATTTTGGTCATCCTCCAGTCAGATGGGGCAAAAGCTGTTCTAGGTTAGTATATAATGGAATTTATAGAAAAAAACTATTTGTTGTTTTTATCTTTATTCGTATCACTCAGTATTTTTTCCCTCCTCTCCAAAGTGAGTAACACAGCTTTACATGTGACCTGGGTGAGGGGGACGTCCCACGTTGTCCCACGTTGTCCCACGTTGTCCCACGTTGAAAGGCCCTGTTTCAGCCGACTTGTGGGGATCTGACCCCGGGGCCTTGAACTCCTTTGAAATTTTCAACTTTCTGATGGGAAAAAAGCTTCAGGAATGGTGGTTGGGGGGCTTTCCTATCAGTTACACTTCGTCGTAAGGCAGAAGCTGCTGGAATCCGTAGCTGGACGATGGCAGTGGTCGCAGTCGGAGAAGCTAGCCTTCGCCTGCGGAGGCTGAAATGCCAGCCCTCTTCTGCCCGTCCGGGATCCTATCGTCACAGCTCTGTCACTGTCGGGGGGGGAGTCCGGTTGACGAGCCTCGAAGCCATTGCCTGCACGCCGCCCGGCCGCGTGACACGCCTTCTGACAGGTGACAGCCGCCCGTCTGAGGCTATACCGGGCAGGTTGCCGGGCGACAGGACACCCTACACCTGCTTGGCGTGCCGCCCTGCCCCTGCTTATCCAGGGGGAAATCTGCAGCATTGATTCCAGCCTGGCAAAGAATGAAGAGGCTCGGAGTTTCTTGTTTTATCGGCTCCCTAAACGGGAAACGGGCAGCATTCCAGACTCCGGCAGATTAGCAGGAAGAGACTGACTACGTTTGTGTGCATCGTCACTTCATCCTTTTAGTTTATTGACTGGAGAATTCCCTTTAATGGAGAATGTCTGCTTCCTGAATCGTTCTTACCTGTTGTGTGTCTTTAGGCCTGGGATACGGTTTGGTTATAGGAAATGATGGGGTTCAGGACCCCCCCCCCCTTTCCCCGTAATGGTCTGCTCCCTCCCTTTGTGATCACTAGGGGCAGATAGTACTGCGCGGTTTGTGGGATGGGAGGCATGAACCGGATCCATCTATACACATGCATCGTTTAGACCTGCTGATTGTGAACTCCCGAAACCCCACCCCCCACCCTTCTGGGAGTGTTCGAGTCATGCAAGGGGGCGGGATTTCGCAAGATGGACTGGTCAAAGTTCTTGTCCCTCTTCAGATATAAGCATGGTGTTTAAACGCCTCCACATGAGCCTGAGCAGTGACAGGACGGCTCCCCCCACTGTTCATCTTGTGATATTTAATCCCAGTAGAAGAAGTCGTAACTGCAGACATCTACAGAGGCAGCACGGATCGGGGCCTGACCAGTGTCTCCCGTTTCTCATGCTCAGATGAAGATGCACTCTCTCTTCTTGCTCAGAGCCTGCCGTGTCGTGCTTGGGGTGCGCACAGAGCCCGTGTGCAGAGCTGTAGCCGTCCGGCCCCCACCCTCGGCTGAATTTCCGGTGCGCCGTCGGCTGAGAATCGGCACAGAGCTCTTCGCTCCATCAGTCGGGCATTAAGGGACAGTGGATGGAGAATTATGGGCAAGGAGAGACCATTTGTTCCTACCGGAGGTCACATGAGGGGGGGGGGCGGGTCATGTTCCCAGAGTAAGCTACCACAAGTGTCTCGCTTTGACTCCTGTAATTGACCTTCGACGAAACTCGATCTGTGTGAAACAAATAGGAAGTTGTAGCTGATTTATAGTTGGAGTAAGAGTTTTGTTTTTATGCTCTTTGTCAGTTTTCATGCCAAGGCCACTAGGCTGCGAAGGAACACAGTTAATCCTCCCCAAGAGGGGGCCCTGCTTGGACTGCGATAAATTAGCTTTTGTTGTTCCACTGTTAAGTCTGATTCGTTATTCGTAATTTATGCGCCGAGGGGCATGGCGGGACACGGCCGGGTCATTTCAGAATGTCGGCCAAGCGGGGAGACGATGGCGGGTTCCGCCCTGTGATTGACCTGCCTGAGGACGAGCTCACAAGTGAGGAAAAGAGACCCAGACCATTTTATATCTCCAAGTAGAGCTAGAGGAGAAGGGTTTTGTTATAACCTGAAGACGGGTGTAAAGGGATGGTTCTGCTGGGGTGACTGGCATCAGTGTTCCACCACGACGACACTGACATCATATCAAGCTGGTTTAGCCTCGTTATTGACATCGCCAGCTGATTACCTTCTCTTACACCTTCCCATCATGGCTGAGAGAAGTCAGTCTACTGAGAGGTGTTTCAAAGGTAAATGTCACTGCAGTTAGAAGGCAGGCAGGGTTAGAAGGAAAGCTTTTGTTTTGTGTGTTTAGGCCGGTGTTTCTCAATCCGGTCCTCAGGCATCCACAGACCCGGGAGGTTGCTGGGAAGGAGCAAAAACATGGACTGGCTGTCGGTCCCCGAGGAGTGGATTAGGAAACACTGTTTTAGGCTGTAAACCTCACAGATGAGATTGGAAATCAGTGTAAAAGCCTTGCGAATAGTTCTCCAGAAAAAGAGATCAACCATGTTAGTACATTTAGTCTGTATGAGGAGCCTAATATGAGTTTTAAAATGCCGTTTGCACATGCCGTCTAGTGATGGATCTTACTTCCTTTCCAGGACCGATTTCTGTGTCCATAAAGATGAGCCGTGCGACACCGTTGGTGAGTAATACCCGTCCGTTTGGGCTGAGGGCCTCTGAGATCTCAGTGTTGAATGTGGATATTTTGATGCGTGAGATCTTCAGGAGACATCACAGCCATGGACGATGGTGATGAACTTCCCAGATCTTTCATGTCAAAGGCTGAGGATCGACTCCCCTAAGCTCCTCTTTCTGGTTGTAGCATAAATCCTGTTTTCTAATGCCAGTCAGAAGATAAGCGGTGACGTGGCTGTCCTCGGCTCCACGTGGGAGAGCCTTCGGAATGCAGAGCAGCGTCCCCGGCAGTGTGACCCCCAACGCTCAGTTTATAAATGTACCCGCTCAGGAGACCACCTGGTGGCACGTGCATGGTGGAGGAACCCGGCGAGATGCATTCCTAGCTAAGCTGCTGAGGAAGCTGCAGTTTCAGCAAAGACCTTGAGATATCTGATTTTAAAATTGTTTTTTTTCTTTTCCATTTTCGTCGTCAAATTTACATGGAAATGGATTTGCTGACCCATAGGTTCGGCTGAAGTTCTAGAAATAATAATTGCATGTTTTAGACTTGCTGCGGTTTCTCGGAGTTGCTCCTGATAAATGGGTATTTGGTCAATATTGATACAGAGCTCATTCAGCGTGTCAGTGACTACGGCAGGATGGAGAAAGGGCTCCCTGTTCCGTCTGTATCTCACTGCTTCATGCCTGAAAAACACAGATCTGCAGCAGAGAATCACGCCTTATCTGTAGGATTTAAGCTGAACAGGACGTGCCTCTGTGACTTTTCTGTTCTTACTAGTTATATATCATCTGAATGAGGCCCGTCAGAGACTGAAAATGTTGTGTTCGGCAGAGCTGGGTTGTGGCCTCTCCTAGTTTGATTTATGTGTCTGAAAGTAAAAAAAAATAAATGCATTATTAGTATACAGCATGCAGCATACAGAGATGCATTCATCTTTTCCTTTTTTGATGACTGTTGAGTTTTGTAAACTAGCGCTCTTTTAGTTGGGGGGTTTAAATATGCGGTGAAATAAGTTTTTGGTGGAAATGGGGGGGCTTGAGAAGAATGAGAGGCATGTTGAGACCAGTGCTGTGGATTTCAGTCTCCGCTGACTGGGGGGCGACTGCATCCGTCACCCTAAACGCATAGGAACGTCCCTGTGGAGAGCTTCACGTCCAACACAGAGCCTTTGAACGGGCGATACGATTTATTGTGTGTCTGCACGTAATGATAACCTGCGGATGTGGGAGGGGTGTCCCATCCCCCCCCCACTGAGGGCGTGCATATTTCCAGACTGAAGGCCCCCCTCCCCATACCTTTAATTTTAAACGTAATTTACGAGCTCCTCCCCCTTCCGGAAGAGTGTGATCCCAGAAGAGATAAGCGTGGCTTTGGGGCGTCTGTGCCAGCCGTTTGGGCGGGGGATTGGGGCCCCCCCCCCCCCCGGTCTGTCTGCCGGGCCCCGGCCATGAACCCCCACTCCCTAAGTGCACCGTGCCGCGTCCTGCCTCATGCGCACCGCCGCATCCTGCCTCGTATATAGTGCAACATTTATTTTTTCCTTGGAATTGTTCTGCCTGTAACCACAGACGCTGACATTTTTCTGGAGTTTCCCGTGGGGGAAGGCGGGAGCAGCGTGCCCGGACACGGACTGGGGGGGGTTCAGTCACGGAGGGTGGCTGTTTTCATTCCTTTCAAGTCCTTCCTTTTTTCCTGTCCTCTTCTCAGATTATTGTTTTTTCCTCCATGTTTCCCCTCCTCGCCTCTGTTCCCCGAGAAGCAAGGCTCAGCGTTCCCAAAATACTTTGCGGGTAGCTGGGGAGCTCCTGTGGCGTGCTGCCTCGACGAGTGGGGTCTGCCATGTACCTGCCCCCGACGAGTGGGGT